GTCGTAATTAACACATCGCTCTATGCCTGTTGCACTACGCTATACACATATGAGAATTTTATCGCATACGCAGAAACAGCTCTGAAGGATTTATTCATTTTGGGGCAAGTCTTAGATGCCACCTAAATGAGTCTTTCATTTCCATATACAATGCAATGTCAATAACCACTTTATAGACCAATTAAGAAATTGTTTACAATCTCATGCTTACTAGCAATACCTAAAATTCACTTTTGGTATCGACAAGCGAATGATAGAGAGACAGGCATGTAGGCGGATGAAACGGTACGTGAAAAGCCGTCCGATTATTCGGTCAGGCTCCCACACAGTGAGATAAATAAACAGCCAAGGAAATGGTTAGACAGATAAACCGAGTAATGAGCGAGCGAACTATGTAGAGACAGGCAAACGCGAAAATCGAAGGACGCGATTGGGCGGTGAGTTGCGGCAGATGAACAAATACTCCTGGAAGGGCAAATGGGAGAACGGTGGAGGGGACAGACGGACGAATGAATTGATAAAATGTCCGACAAAAGGAGGGATTATAGCTGAAATGAAATAAGTAGAAAAATGGAAGAAGGCAACCGATTCACATCAGAAATGCAGATGGCCGGAAGGACGGATCGACGAGATAATTGATTAACTGACTAACAGAAGTATAGTTAGACGGCAAAAATAGCAAGATGGAAAAGGAAAGACTGAGTTCGGATAACATCGCAGTGAAAGTATAGGGAATTAGCATACCTACCATTGATGAATTCATAACAGTTGCAACTATTACTCACTCTTAAGCTCTCATGCGATTTGCGCTCATGCGATTCGTGCGTCATTTAAAAAGAGGACATAATAACGTAAGAACCATTCGATCAGATCATCTTTACATATTCTAACGTAGGGCCAATAATTGTTTACTTGCTCATATCTATATAGAATCTCTTTACTTACTTGCCTGCTTACTTGCCCAGTTAGACTGAAAAGTTTCAGTTATCAAATATTTATTATATTACAGATACGTTTAGAAAATAATCTCTAAAAAAACACAAAAAGCAACGACCTAATATTGCGTTATCAACATAAAGTTCAACAAAATAAGACATTTATTTATATATCTCTTTTTTTTTTTGCTTCTAAGTACAAGCAAAAAAATGACAAATGAGTAACAATGTCAACCGAAAGTTTTCTACTTTTCAGTCACATTTAGATGGAAATGTTCCAAAAGCGTTTTTTTTTTTTTAATTAAAGTTAGTTAGAGTTATTCCATAAATATTTCGAAAAATAGAAAAAACGACCGAAGAAAAGGCGATAGAAAACACTGGTAATAACAAACACGGGGACTGATTATGTAAGGAAGGAATCTTTTACTCGTATCTTTAACTTCTTTACATTTAAGCCTGAGAGTTATGAGTAATGAATAACTTTTTTTTAAGATTCACTGACGTTACCAGTTTTTATTGATCCCGAATTTTTTTTTCAAATCACAGAGCAAAAGCCAAATAGACTTTATTTTCAGTCAGTTTGGGTGAATGCAAACTTTTGCGAAAGTGAATGACGAAAACCTTGTTACCTTGTTTAAATAATTTGCAAAAGCTTTTTCTGCCGGTTTCATCGTTTGTCCCCATGTGATGTAAAGTTAATCAAAATGTGGTATATAAAACAAGTTGAGACCTCGTTATAACCTCGTAAGGCTATGAAAAACTATACACATCTCCATTTTCGTCGTAAAACAACAAAAATGATCTCGTACTTCTCATGAGGGCTCTTCTAAGGGAATTCTGTATGAAATTACGGAGCAATCGCGCACAGTAAATGGGTGGGTCGAATCATTGTACTTATCCGCAGCATAGGCCAGCATATCAGAAGAACAATTGTTAAGTCGGCATACTCGGGTTCTATTTCTAATGCCATAGACTATAATTTTATTAGCTCGATCGGCGGAGGCGCACTTCGGGTATATGCCTCTTCTTTGTCACCATCACTGTATCACCGTACTATGCAGAGGACGCACCCTGAGCCTTTGGTTATATTAAAAAATGTAAAAAAATAATCTGATAAGCTGAACAATTGTTCTATGTGTACAGAATCCGGAAAATGGACTGTTTTTCTTCACTTTTTGTTGTAAGAAGGAACACTTTCACTTAATTCGCGCCGCTGTTTATTGAGGCCCATTCCTTAGCAAGATATTATTAAACATTGCCGCACACAGCATACCAATACCACATGAGCAACCCTACAGCATATTCATTGTCAAATTTATCCCATTTGCGCTTTACCCTGCACACCTATCTGAATGCTGCCTTACTCTCAGGGCATCTTTCGCCCTCGGTACTTTTTATGTATAAAGGATATCCTCGGTGTGACAAGAAAGTCCTATCACTTCTGTAAATTTTTCCATTGCTTAAGTACGCCAAAATGTTGTTTTTCATTAATTTTTATCAAAAAATATCAAAAATCGAAGATTTTTTTCCTATCATTTCTCAAAGCACGGAATTTTCATGAAAATAATCTTATGCGAATTATCTTCAATAACAGTCATCTTTTACCCGCAACATTTCCTTGAAATTTCGTAAGAAAATTTAACATATAATAAGCGAAATAAAGCTGAATAAAATCTTCATTGTTTAAATACTTAATAGGGAAACCTTATTACTATTACCAATTATACTTTTAAAGTGCTACATTGATTAAAATATTTTCCTATAGTATATTCTTCATCACCACTTTAAAGCAATTCAAGATAAAATGATATAATCCCTCGTCGTTTCGTGTGCACTATGTGCATATGTATTGCGAAAAACTTTCTCCACCACTGTGTTTTTATAGATTATCTGCATGTGTATGCAAACAAAAATGTATGTGTGTGAAAACACACATGTTCTCAACGAACATTTGTTTATTATTATGATTGTTGAGTGAGATAATAACAATTTTCGCTGCACATAGTATGCCCATTATACAGGTAAAGCATAAAAAATTCGCCCACCTCTTCGAATAAATGAAGAAATTCGTGAAAAAGAAAGGAGAGAAAAAAGTGTAGCCGCCTAGTTATTAATGTAAAACACTAACGACTTCCAACAGTTTTATGTTCAACAGTCAGTGATGGTATTCGATCACATAGACCAATGGATCTAGTATATTACGCAATTTTAGATCAATATAAATGCAACCCTACAGAAAACCTTTTAAAATTTTTGATTTATTTTCATTGTGAAAAGCACGCGTCAAATCATAGATTTGAATACCATTAAGAGTTTCAGTACATCTATCCCAATATCGAAGTTTCTATATCAAGTTCCATTAACAGAATGAATTTCGATTGTTCTTCAAGGTCATATGTGTCAATTAACTATGTCTATAAAGGTCCTTGAGCCTGCTCGTGCACATCACAATACATATTCTGAACCGATCTGTACTGTTCCTTATATCCATTCTTCAATTTTCTAAAATGACAACAATTGCAAAAAATTCTGGAAAGATAATTCAATACTTGCTAACTTGTCGTCTAATATAGTCGTTTATAAAATCTGAGTTCTAAAACATTTATGATTGACTTTATTTAATTTGCCACATCTGTACTTGTTGTCGGAAAGTTGAACATGAGATAATCTTGCATTAGACGGGCTCTTCAAAAAATTATATAAACTCCTAATGACAAAGAGAAATCCATTCACTGAAATATGTTTTGAATTAAAAAGGAAAAAGTTAACCTTGTATGACATTTGTATCTTAATCTTAGAACGAGTTATGCTTATCATATAAAACAATTTTTTCATTAGTTAGTTACGACCAAGTTAGCCAAGATCATTTTTGCCATGACTTAAATCCAGACAATTCTCTTCCAGAGGAAAGCGTTAGTTATTGATTGAAATGTATTGAAATCTGTAACTTCTCCTCCGAGATGGTCTAAATTTGCAGTTTATACTAAATTTCACATGAAAAATATATACACATTTACACATGCGCCAAACTTCGTTTTGCCATCTCAATCTCTAGAGATTCGGATAATAGCAGAGGAGTAACGCATTAACTTGTCCCTGAATGTCAAATATATCGCTAATGTAAATGCCTTATAAGCCACAGCACTTGAATAAATAAAAACAGCGGTAGGATTTACATTAGTCCTAGTTGTAGTGAGTGTTCAGAGACGATGCATTCCAGCGACGAAATTCTTATACCAACCATTCGGCATATAAAACCAGCCAGTGATCTCATAGAAATAAACTCTGAGTTATTTCAATTATCTGTCTTCGTTTCAGTTTTTTAATGAATAAATTTACATCATCTCTCTCTCCCTCTCTCTAATGGGCTCATAATTCAAGATTCATTTGAAAGGTTTATGTGATTGTCTTGAAATTTAACCTCAAATATTGCTTTTAGTGTATGGACCTTGTCATCGTACGGAAAGAGGAAGTAATACGCTTCTTAGGAGATAATCATAGATGTGATCTTTTTTGGATTTGCCTTTCCCTACCTCATGAGAAATATCGAAGTGCAAGAACCCACCCAAGCATCTCGGAGACTTTTCTTTATTCCCCTGCTAGGAGAGGAACGGAATTCATTAAAAATCCCTTGCATCAAGATTTAATAATTCATTTATTAATTTAAACACTAAATCTTATTCATTCTTACTCATTTCAGGTCTCTTATGCTTATCTTTAAAAATCGAAATCAATTTTCACTTTTATAAGGACCACGATATACCAATTGATTTAAACGTAGTTGTAGACGGCACTCATTCGTATGTCCTCAGTTGAGTAAGCGAATCGCATAAACAGAGAGCGGTGTAAGCAATTCACTTTAGCGCACATGCGCTTTGAATCAGTAAGAGCTCTTACACCGTTAGTGTCTATTGATTTTTAACAGATATTTCGGCAGTGCCTCGTATACAAACGGCTGGGCTTGCACTATCTTAGGTTTGGTGCACTTGCATTTTTAACGTAACAGCTGATTTATCCGCAATGGTATTAAATGTGCCTTGTTTTTATTGCTGTTATTTTTGTTGCAATTGCATCGTGCTCTGATTTTGTCATTTACTTTAGACATTTAAGAAAAATTATTGCTGTGAAAAAAGCACTCGAAACCAAAAAATAAAAAGCAGGAAAAATGTTAAATAACGTTATTGTTAAAGTGATTTACGCGAAACGGAAGTGTAAACTACACATTCGCACATAAACATTATTGCTTTATATATTCTATATATATATATATATGTGTTATATATAGTGTATGAGTTTATCAATTGTTGTTTTTTTTTTTTAATACCACAAAATTTGAAGAAAAGCACAAAACGCGTTGGATTTTTATGGCTCAGACACACCCGTAAAATTTGCGTACGTAAATAAAATAATCAGGGCGGAAGTGAGATATTAATCCAATCCAATATAACACGCAAAGCCATGCAACTTATGCAATTATGCGTATCCAAGTATTTTATTAGCTGCAATCGCCTGCACAATAAAAAATTTATTAATTATGTGCATGTGAAGAGCCTTCAAAAACGAAAATGCTTAAAGTGCGAGATAACCTTAACTGAATTGATAACGATAATTCATTATCGACCATATGTTAACTTGTTGTCACTTGTAATGGGTGAGTCACGAGAGGTGCCATAATTTTATTTTGATTTCAACTTGACAGCGAACTTGAAGTATACAAATAACACTTAAAACAATGTATGCATATTACAAAATCCATTTAGCAGCACTACTTGCCTATCTAATTATTGAATACCATCAACAACAACAAAAAGTCATTGTCAAACATATTCGCGAAAACTAAAAGCACACCAGCTTTGTTATTCCGTTTGTATCATTTGGAAAAATGCATTAAGAAATTTTTCGAAATTATATATATAAATGTATTCTTAATCAGATTATATATAGAATTCTGAATCAATTTAACATTGATTGTCTTATAGCAATTGCTTTGATTATCTCGTATTTCGCAGGCACTGTAATAATAAAATTTAGAAACATCCTACTTGATGCACACAGTTAGGTTAAGTTTATGATGATGTTTAGAAGTGATCAGTGGATTTGGTGCAGATTCGGCAGCAGTTCATCGAAATAGCGATTAGCGTAGATTGTCTTCGTAAAAGACACGATTCATATTATCTTAAGCGCAATCATTTATTTCTTCAAACCATATATTTTTGGAGTGTTTGTCATTATAAGAAATTTATAGATGAACAACATATGTTAAGCTCAAGTACACCCATTACAATATTTGTCAGCACATTTGCTTAATAAGATTCACCAGTCACAATGGTTTATGAACAGATATATGCGTAAGCTTAGCTTGTTCAGTTAGAGAAGTGCAACAGCACCTCTGTGAATCAGTGCATAGTCGTGATGATAAATACTTTTTCCTAATAACCACATTTTAAACTCTATCCCATCTGGTGGTATAGGATAAATTAAAGTTTTGCATATATAAGTAACATCCAGAAAGAGTTAAGATAGACTCAGCTTTTATTATACGAAAGAATTTAGAATCATTTTCTAAAGGGACTTAAACATGTCTACCTGTCTGTCACACTGTCTGGCGCTTGTCCACATATTTTTGTGTTCAAGCTGCATGTCACAATTTGTGGGATATTTTAATGAAATTTGATGCATTGACATGTGGCGGATGAACTTTGCGATCACTGCATATATGATGCGGTATTTAAAACAACGAAACATTGCCATTTTCATAATTTCTCGCTAACTAATAGCACTTTGACTTTCTAAGTTGTACGTAAAAATATGGGGAAAATAGGACGATTTCGTCAAATTTCTCCTTTAGAACGGTTCCTACAAAAAGTAAAACTTTATATGATAAAAGCGCCCAATATTCACAATTTCACTACAAAAATTGTCTTATAAAAATAATTTGACATAAAGTATATCAATAACAAGTCGTGATTCCGATTATCTTACTTCTATATTCCATACAATATAAGGATCCTCGTGAAAAGTAAAGAATGGTACAAGGCGAATTTATGTAAGGCATTGGATAGTCGGCTTTGGCCGACTATAATTTTTTGACTTTTTTCTTTTCACTTTTTCCATGCATTTAATCCAATACATTCCAATAGTATTCCCCCATTTTCTTCTCTTCCATTGAATTTACATTTAGAGATAAACTATAAATGATATGCCTTTTGTGTTATGTTCAAAAAGCTAACGTGATAACATCTGCTTTCCATAGCTGTTACGTTCAAAGTGGAATATCTGGCTTGTTTCGCTCCGAAGTTTACTTTCAAACATAGCGATAAGACATTGTATGGTTATAAGACACCATTTTCTAATTTGCACATAGTTTTGCCAAATCGAATTTCTTCGTTGGAAATAGCCGTTTAGGCGAAAGATGTGGACGAGGGGGCTGAGCTATTTTGGGCATGAAATCAATCGTTCAATGGTTTCACTTACCCTATCTTCAAAACTGTCATCATTTCACTCAGATTTTCCGTAGCGCACTGAAATTCATTTAACTGTGCTGGCACAGCATTCTCTTCGAAGAAACAAATCTCCCCAACATATTGGGCATTTAACATAGATTATCCATGGTCTTTTTTAGAAAGAGGACTATACTGTCGGCTGATAAAGTTTGATAACTACCACATAGGTTGAGATCGCACGCCTATATAATTCTGCAGAAAAATGGATAAAAAAAACCCCATCCACCGAATATTGTAAAATATTAAAGTTTATCTTTTTCATAAAACGTGAACAACAGCAGAAACCTCCATCTAAGCATGCGTGTCCTTTACTCAGTCTGTCTCTGTGCACTTTTATGCTAAATTTTTACAGACAGGTATTGAAAAATGGCGAAATCTGCTCTGCAGTTTAAACTGATGAATAACAAATGTGGCAGTAAAACATTTACAATCCTTAGGTGAGCCTGCAGTAGCTGCACAAAAATGAAAAAAACCAACCACGCCTATCCCCTATTATGGAGCAGCGAAAATTCTCTTTATTTCGTGTAGCTTTTCACAAAGATGTTAGTGAGTATAAAAGATGCGGCCACAGCCGAATATAATTTTTGTACTTGTTTAGTTTGTTTACAAGTTAGTTCGCCCTTACTACGCGCATTGTCTGGTTGTGCCAGCATGCAACGTTGATTGAATTAGATAATCATAGAAGTTCGGGACATACTATATTCATCATTTCATTTGTCGTATCCAGAAATACGTACATGTAGTATATACATTCTTGCTCGGGATAGGAAACTGGGTCAATTCAGTCTTGTTCATCTGACTGCTTATTGTGTTTTATTCGCATGATGTCAAACTTTGGGCGGAATTCGAAACTTTGCACATATATTCCTAGTTGAAAGTGATCTCCTCACAACTATACCAGTAATAGCACACAATTAAAAACACTACCGCGGGCTACAGTGTATCATTAGATACTTTGCACTACTCTGCAGTTATCTTATTTGAGCAAAACGTTATATGGAAAGCGGTTGAAAAAGTGATAATATCTGAACCATTTTCAATAGCATTCGTTCTTGGGTCAAAGCATGTCCACATATCAAATTCCGTCAAGTGGAAACACTATAGTGTAACGCGACCCTCCCTTGAGTATCCTACACAATTTTGTTGAACACAATTACTCGTATTCAAGTTCATCGAAATGCCTTCCAAAAGTGCGAAATTGTAGGTTGAATACGAGAAACCAGACGAACAAACCAGCTTAGGCAATTATTTTCTAAATCGATCTGGGTAATAAAAAATGGATCTATCCCAAATCCTTGTGGTTGTTGCAGACATTCGCACAGAGCTAATATGCTCTGGTACCATTAGTGATGTAGGGTATAGGAAGTGTATGGAATCCGTAAGGCTTGCGCCTGCAATAGAATTGTGAAAATCGGTTGACATATTCTTGGAAAATGCTCGTGATCTCACAAATGCAAGTACACGTGGTAAACACGAAGTACCTGTGTGAACCAGAATGAACGAACCGGACCTGAAACTTGAAAGTCACCCTCAATAAAAAACAAAACTGTTACCTTATGGCCCGTAAAAGATATTAATCTAAAATCTGATGCAAAAATATCCCTATGTCAGCCAGATGATCCCAAAAGTTACTCACGTTTCACAAATTACTTTGCAGTTCAATTTGAGATTAATCGGCATAGCAATAAGTGAGGAAGGATTATATAACTCTCTTGGGTTATATATTGTGTATTCAACATTTTGTGGATGTAATCAGTAGTCGGAACAACTTAAGGTGTATTCCCCTGTTTTAGCATATCAGTTCATTTAGAATGCCTTCCTAAATAGATTAAGGTCTGCGTCGGCATTTTTACTCAACCTACCAATGGCCACTTTCTAGACAGTTTTATATGGTTTGGAATGTCATACACCTTACAAGTGCGGTGCTAGTCGGTGCCTTTCGCAATGCATATGAATGCATATGTTTTTCAGGTTAGTTACACCTGTTTTCGCGTAATTCAGATTTTTTCCACTCTTTTGCAGTTTAGAACTATGGCCTGAACTACTATTATGAATACGTCGTTGTGCGAACTTAATAAGTGATGTGCAATTTTATTTTAAAGGAGCTGCTATCCTTTTTTTGAGCGTTTCTGTAACAACACTAAAGCATCTAACAAAAAAATTTCGCTCTCAGTGTGAAGTTCAGTTTTTAAAACAATGGCAATCAACAAGCTTTATGCAGCAAAAATATTGTCGCTAAGGCAGATTATTAATAAATAACGAATGAAGCCATCAAAGCGGTTGTGTCGCCGCTTGACGCTTCGAAGGCTTCACCTTCAATAACTTCTGAACTAACGCTTTTTACTCTTTTTTAATTAAATTTTTTCTAACTTTTGAAAATATCTTTTGTTTATTACTTTACATATATTACACTAAAATTGAATTTTTCACACATGTATCTACGACGCATACAAAATTAATAAAAAAAAAAAAAATTTACTATTTTCTTTGAAATATGATAACGTAAAGTCCATTAAAGCAACATCATTCATATTTTCACTGCATCAGTGATTTAATTTAATTAAAAACTTTAAATTGATTTTTACTTTCTATTTATTTCGTGATTATCCTCAGCATCATCGTTATCATGTTTTTCTCATGCAGCCCTCTCTCATTCTCTCTATCTTTATCTATCTATCTATCTATCTATCTATCTCTATCTCTCTCTCTCTATCTCTATCGCTTAATTATGTTTCTTTCTCTTTGTATCAATTTCAAATAATTTATCAGTGGCGCAGTAAACGCTTGTCAGTACCGGTAAGAAGCATAATGGGTAACGCACATGCACCTCCAGCTATGAAGTATACGGATAGCGATAGAGCTGGCAATAGCGAGGGCTTGGTGAAACGTGCTTCCATCAAAAGTCGACGTGGTAGTCGTGTGAAAGTCTTAGGACTTTTAAGTCAAAAAAAGTTTCCAAAGGAGTCAATAACACCGACGACTTCTATAATGGGAATTCCTAATGAATACAGCCCGGGCAGCCTTTATGGGGATTGCATAGACGAAAGTAGTCAAGAAAGCTTCGGTAAGTCCAATAATCGTATTTGATGAAAAGAATTCCTTTCCTTTTTTTTTTTCTTGTTGTTTTACAAGTTCTTGTTCCCTAAGATAACAGTACGTTTATCAATCTTTCTACGAACAACTGTAGCACACATTGTAGCAATTTTGTATTTCATACTTTTTGGTTAACTTCTTATGCAAATATACAATTTCCCTTGCTTTTACTTTTGTTGCAATGTTTGCTTTGCTTTTAATGTTCACTTCATTATTTTTTGTTGTTGCTGTTGTGATTGTTGTTATACGCAATGTAAGTAAGAAAGTTATATTTGCCTTAAGGCGTATTTTCGATGCTCACCACTCATTCTAAAGGCACTTCCTCATCAGCATAAGATTTCGAATCGATTGCTCATGCTCGTCGTAGGCAGTGATATAACGCTGAACTAACTCAAAACGTGGGCAAATCGACGCAAAATCTTTTGCTGATTAAGGAAGGACTTACATAATTTATGAAGTTTTTGACATGCGTTTTTAAATGTTTCAAATGGATAGATATAGGGAATACAACCTAATCTCTCTCTGTCGAAATTGCTGTGATTAATTTTAATTAACAAAAACATTATCACAGAAGCAAAAGGAAAGGAATCATAGCCGAAAAATACACCGTAGCTGTTTTCTAGGCTAGGATTGTATGCTAGCTGAGCTGTATCCAACTCATAACTTAATGGCAGAGAAAGACGCAAAACTTTCCTAACCAATAAAATCTTAGTCCCAACTTAAGTTTTCGTAAAAATCGTACTCAAAGTTAGTGCTCTGCATAACAATTTGTTAGCCAACCAAACTAATTTCTTACTTAAAGAGGGGTAACAAGTGTGACGCGCGAAGTGATTTTTAGCTTTTACACTCATCCACATTGATTTTGTAAAGATTATCTTCGTGTAAGCCATAAAAAAAGCCATAAAATTTAATTTGAAGTAATGGTTCGAAACAAGTATGCATTAAATACTATGACTGATCACGAATTCCCTTTAAAAAAGTGTATATACAAAAAACAGGTTACAATAGATTCGTCGTGTAAATGGCTTTTGATGCAACGAAGATATTCGTTCAAGGGAAAAATTTGCGGATGTGTCATATCACTCATCGGAATAAATCCAAAAAAAAAAAAATATACAAAACACTAGTAAAAACACTGTAATGAAACATAGCCGAACATTAAATACCCTACACCATTTCACATAATGCAGTTATTCATGCAATAGCTTTTCAAAATTAGACCTCATTTTGGAAATGCGACCGTTTTCGATAGCGTTCGTCCTTGGACCAAAACATGCGGTATACCAAATTTCACCGAAATGTCTCCAAAAATTGCGGGCAGTAGGATGCACACAAGAAAGCAAGACAGACAGACGGACAAGCAAGATTAAACTGATCCATCTTTTATACAAAATAAAAGTAGAGTTTTTGACAAGCCCTGCTGGCAGATAAGATGCTGTATAAAAATTCGGGGGATAAAAATTAAATTTATAAGACTTCTTCGCCGAGACCATTTTGAAAATTCGCGAGTGGGGAAAAACGATTTTAAAGTTTTGCAATGTCTTGTTGACATCTTTTCTTATTGTCATCGATTTTTTATATATTGTTTTCTATTAGTCTGTCCTTCCATGTTGAAATATTTCTCCTCGTTCTCTTCCCCTCGTTCTATTTCCAAAGTATTCAAAAGTTCTTGTTCAAAAGTGTTTGTTTTGCTGCACCTGTCAAAGACAAAGAGGGTCATTTTATACTGCACTTATTTCGAGCAAAAAAAAACATATACATCTCAACAGCCGAATTCTCGATCAAGGCCAAAATCTTCATCTCAAACCTTTAATTTCTTGATAGAAACGCAGAATGCTTTTAAATCGCTCGCAGCCTCATATCTTTTCAGAGGTCGTCTTGAGGAAGGTGCAGTGACATATTTTTCTTTGGAACATACCCTTTGAATGAAAATAAGTAATAGATAGTAAGGCTTTCCCATTCGAAACGCGGAGTTTCTTTACAGGTTGGCGGTACCGCACCTAACCTCTATGTCGAATTTCAAGCTTGTTTTCATAAACGCATTTATGTTCCAAATTGACTGACAAAAGTGAATCAAGCTAGCATGGCTAGCGGTTGTGAAACGATACGAATTAAGCTTTTGCTAAAAAATTCTCGGGAATCCCAAACATTATACCCCGTACAATATCGTCAGGGAAAAATAATCTGGCCAGAACTCTGGCGAAAAGTTCGAATTGCAAATGACACACTGTAGTCAAGTAATATTCCTTGCTAACAGAGTGAGTCGCCTTCGTTTCGTATTGGAGAAGTCGCCAAGGGAAAGGTTTTGATTACACTAAGGCACCACTACCACTGATACATCTAATCGATATAAAAATAGTTTAGTGTAAAATTTACTGAGGGTAAACATTTGCTGCCTTGAGGTGCAACAAAGCGAAATCGATTAGTGATTTTTTATTTTTTCGAAAAAACTATAATTGAGAAAATGTTTCAATATATCTTCTATTTGTTCGCTATTCTTCATCTTATACAAAATTTGTTGTTGTTATTTGTATTTAATACTCTAGTAAACATATGCTCTTTAGAAGGAACAAAAGCAAGGAACAATTGCTTTTAGAATTTTATTTGTTACTACTTTCTAGTTTTTTTCATTGTTTAGAATTTGAAAAATAAGTCTTGAAGTTTTTCCTATTATTACTTTTCTTTTCGTATACTCTTTATTTGCATGCGTTTTAATAAAGTTAAATTTTTTATACAATTTTAGAATAAAAAAAAAAAAAACATGAATAAATTCAATTATAATTGATTCAGCATTCGCTTAATTAATGACTCAAAACAGGAACAACTCAATCATCGTTGAAAAAAACAAAAAAATCAAAATTTTTTAGTAAATCCAACTCGTCGTCACGCAACAATGATAAATTTTTTGAAAACCAGCAACAACAACAACAACAACAACAAAACAATCAGTCTGAACACGAAGCAGCAGTCAATGTACCGCGAAAACAGCTCCTTTCAGATAAGACAGAAACCACCTATGAAAACGTGCTGCCAAGTTCAAATTACTCATCAACATCGCAACAACAAGATCGCGATATTGACTTGAAAAGCGCACAATTAAGCGAAAAGAAAGGAAAATCTGAAAAACTTGATTGTGATGAGATAAAATTAAAAGCAAATCAAATAATTACACCGCCTGCCGTACGATGGCAGCAAGGGCAAAATGTGAATGCAATTACAAAGCAAATGCAACATATTGCCGAAAGTGCAAATACGGTATCGATTTCAAAATCCGAAACATTACAAGTAGAAAAGAAATCAATGACATCAGAATGTTGTAAGAACACAGAGCAAGCGACACATGGTAAATTTGCATAACGATAAAGATTGGCGTAAGGCTATATCCTAAATAACCTAACACAACTTAACTTTTATATACGAAATTTCACCACAACCATGTATACAATCTTGCATCGATTCTCTTTTTCTATGCATTACACGATTTTGGAAAACTTCAGAAAATGAATGCTTGACTTAAATAATCACAAATATTATACGAATAAGATCCGCTACATCTTTCATTTGAACTTTGACGAGCTTTTTACTTAAACTTTAGTAGCAATTCGTCATAACTTTACTCCGATAAAGTTCGAAAAAGAAACGAACCGAAATGCTTTATATTGTTCATTCTGCTTCTTTTTTTTATTTTTTTTTTGATGAAATGGATCCAAAAAGTTGTGTTCACTAAGGCAAATGGAAATTTCTTGAATATCGTTATTAAAGTAAGCCTAGAAAGTCTTGCCTTGCTGTAGCCTTTTCATTCAAGCGAGAAACTTTTCATTATTGAACCCTACGAACTTTTACGTCATATATTTCGGAAGAAAGAGTGACAGGGTCTCCGAGGTAGCAGCAAAGACCAAGAAAAAATTTTACTTAAATCTTGTAGCGAAATAAAAATCTTAAAATAATTTTTCTATATATTTACCTTAATTAATAGGTGGCTAGTATTCACTAAAACACCATTGAATCGTTTCAGTACTTTTGTAAATGGGACTTTTTTATTAAAAAGTTCCTTTGAAGATGTGAACATTATCCTTTTTTGAGTATTGTATAGTGTTCTTGGTTGAGTGTTGTGCAGTGCTTGTTGTAGGGGACACTACGGTGCTTTATGTTGAGAAGTGTACGGTGTTCTCTCTTGAAGACTGTGCAGTACATTGTGCAATGCCCTATGTTAAGAACTTTGCAGGCGTCCTTCTAAAACACTACATAGTGCTCCTCGAGGCCTATGCAGTACCGCCTCTAAAGACTATGAAGTGCTTACTTTTAAGTACTGCACAATACTGATTCTTGACTGTATTTTGCTAATTCTTTAGGACGGTGCTCCGCCTACAGGACTATATACTGCCTGGTTTCGCCTGTGCAGTTCTGCTTCTTGACTCACAAATTAGCACTATACAGTATCTCTTATTGATTGCACTGTGCTTTCCTACAGCACTCAAAAATTTACGCATGCCTAATAACTGATCACTAAGAAAAAGATAATGAAAGACTTTCTGACCACCGAAAAAATCACACTTTCAATCTATAATTCTCTTCTAGCAAAAAACAAAAAATTCTGGTCCGAATACTTTTTAACAAAAATCATAGCCAATAGCCTCACTAAATTGTGGAAAATATAATCATCAAAATAATGAAATGAAAACTCTTGGTAGGCAGAGACGGAACAGGCATTTTCGAAATAAAAGTTTATAATCGCCAAGACCGATCGCTTAAAATTAAAAATTTATTTAATACCCCGAAATGCCATTTTTCACGGATTCAATATTAAAAATAGCAAATTTTTCCAATGTAACGAGTTTTTCAAAACGTGGCGTTACGTGCGAATGATGGCAAAAATAGTCCAAGCCTGGCTATTTTCAACAGAGTTCATCTTTGGACCGAGACACATCAATTAGTCTATGACATTTCATGAAGAGGACGCAAAAAGTCGCA